CATTCCTAACAGTGGCCTTGAATCCAACAGTGACTGTGTTTTCAGACGAGCAGTAAGTAATACTTTTATAAACTTAAAATTCTTAGGATTCTTACACATCCTATAAGTGAGGTATCACTGCTCAAGGTTTGCTGTGTTTTTATTTCCAGTCCACTATAAGTTTCCATTTACAATTTGAATACGTTCTTTTTAAGTGGTGTTATTCAGTTAGGCATAGCACAAAAAAGATTTGTTATTATCATTAATGCCTGAATATAAGTGGTTATGGAAAGGTCCACAGTGTTTTCATTAATAATGAGAAACATTAAATGTCTCATTTTAGATTATTCCTTTAGAGTTTGGAAGAGAGATTATAAATAGCTAACGCATAACTTAAGTTTCTTTTATGTTTTCTGAGAACATTTGTAAATTCTCCAGAGTAGATTTTCAAGTCGATATATTGAAAATAAGGAGAAATTTTCAGAAATAGTAACAAGTTATATTATTTGTAATTAGTAAGATTGCACTTACTAGTCGTAACCTTCAGTGATTTATTTTTTATTTGTTTTAGGACGATAAAATATTAGATTTGTTTTCCAAATGATACAGTATTTCCATAATACTGCTTTTTATCATAAGCTCAGTTAACAGAAAAAATTATATCAGTGAAACTTTGAGGTTTTGAACTGTTTCTTTAATACAAAAAATTGGATTACTTGCCACTTTGTTTCGAAAATACTTCTAGCTAAAGGGTAAAGATAATTGATGAAAATTGTATTTTTTTGGTTAATTTAGAGTTTTGTATTTACAAATACCAAACAACATGTTAGATGTAAGCTTTTTTAAAAATCTATATCTAATCTGTATCAAATCTTGGTATCTTTTACTTTAAAACCAGGTTTCTCATGAGAATGTTTTGCTTCTTGTATTTGTTCAAATCTATAATTATTTTTGGAGTAGAAAAGGCCCATTGATACATGTTCAAGATGAGTTGTTTAGTTGTTTTTATTATTTATCAGAAAACCATACTGCATAATTTGAGGAGTTCACCTAAAACTCAGATCTGATCCTAGGGGGAAAGAAAACTTTTCTGTTTTACTGCACTACTCTAAAAATAAATTTTGTGGATCACTCAGTAGGGAAATCCTAATAGATTCAGGAAACATTATGGACTTTGTACATGACAGTGTTATGTATTGTGGATGATACTGCTGATACTCATTCAGTTTTTCTTTTTTTTCCCCTGAAGAGTAGAGCAGTAGGTAAAAAATGACATTGGAGTGTAGTAGATGTTTCTAATGCCTGTTCATCAGAATAACTCCTTGAAGTAGGTTTACTTAGAAAAAAGAATTAGTTAACCAGAAAATAGAAAAAAATCACATTTACATAAAGATATTCCTCATCTTTCTCAGTAGATTGCAGCTTAGAAATATTGAGTAAATTGCTTATACGGTTCGGTTAAGATTTGTTTCCAAGATCTTCCTCCAGATACTATCAGAAGGTACTGTCCAATTAATATTAGCTATGTATTGCTTTTCACTATTTTCTCCTTTTTATCATTCTTTCTACAATGCTAAATGCTATTATTGAATTGTGATATCTCTGCTATGGATGTACATCATGTTTATCAGCTTTTCCTGCATCATTAATTCAAGTCATTGCTTACATTTAATGCTATATAGTTTTTCAAAACACAAAAAATTTAACTTCCATGGTTTAAGTATACTATTCATGATTGTATTATAACCACGATAAAGGTTTGGAAGGTAAACATAATCGATGTGCTATTAATCAGATGCTTTGCTGCCATGTTATATCTGAATCATTGCCAATTAATTATTAAGTTAATTTTAGGCTGTCTGCAAAGTATGGCTTAGAGTTATTGAGTATTCTGAAAGTTCAGTAAAATTAATTGCTTTTTAGTGGATAGAATAAGTCTTTAATTATAAATGTATCAGTAAGCATGTAATTATAGATAAAATTAATAACATCTTGAAAAACCAGTCCTGGTGGTAATTAACACTTTGAATTAGAAAATATGTAAGTGGTATTATGTTTTTCTTATTCTTCCTGTTAAACCTCTTTTAAGATATTGTTTACACTGACAGTAATCCAGAAAGGAAATGAAATATGTAAATCTATTAATCTAACAGGTATTAGCTTCTAATAGCTTTTAGAAGACACAGGAAAAAATTTGTTAATTCAATATTCAAAATGTTATCGCCATGAGTTTTATTCATCTTTTCCAAACTTTTTTCCTTGTCCTTCTAAGAAACACACTTTTGAGAAATAAAGTGGTAATTTTTAAACTTCGCTTATACATTCATGGTTTTTTTAAAAACCAGAGTATCATCATAAATGGCATAGTTCAACTTTTTAAATATACTCAGTGCCATCTCAAAATATGACTCAGATATTTTTACTTAGTGTTAATCTGTTTTAACAAAAGCTACCTGATTTTGTTTAATCTCTGGAATTTATTTTAAGAGCATGTAGTTCCAAGAAGCTGGTATGCAAATTTTTATTATTCTATTTTATTAGAATTGGTATTGGGTTAGTTTTTAAATCTAAATGTTCCCTCTTTTGAATAACGAGTTTTACCTCATGCAGCTAAGAAAATCATTTTAAAATCTATTCTCATTCCTGTTGTTTTCTTTTTTATTTATGAGTTAAAAACTTGTTAGGAGAAACAGACTTTTTATAAATGACAGTAATTCTAAAGAAGGGCCAAGAGGTATGTATTTAAAGCCTCGAGCGTTCTTTAAGAATCACTGATTTGGGATTAAACTTTGATGGTGTATTTTTCCCTTTGTTCAGTATCACACTGTCATCATGTCACAGTTTTCATAGGGTCGTGAAACATGATGGTGAATGTTTGAAGAACCAACTATGCGGAGGGGGCAAGGGGTGGGGTCGATTTTTAGGGGTGATGATTTCTGTGGTGTATACCTCCCAGCGGCACGTGCTGACAAAATGTCTTAAGGCAGCGTGTTCTAATGTCAGTGCAAGAAAGTAGAAGTAATCAAACCGCATGCTCACCTCTGGCCAGTGTATGTTCACAGGGCTCAAAGAGCAGATCTGCTTTTCAATTGTCAGCCTGTACTCCTGAATACAGCAAGCTCCTGCCTTTCTCATTTTTGAAGTATCTTTAAAGTAATTGGACCAGAGGCAGAAAGCCACTATCTTAGCTGTCCAGTCCCATTCACAGCATTATCCTTTGCACAGGAACTTCTGCTTTTATCTCTTTTGCTCAAGCTATGGGCTACAGGCTTTTGTGTGACAGATCAGAAACTTAAATTTTATTAAAATGACCCAGTTTTTCACACTTAGCAAATCCCCTACTTGGACACTTCTTTAGAGCTCTATGAGTTACTTAACTTGATTATTTGAGGTCATTTTACGTTCTTATTAGTGTAAAATGCATCAGGACTGCTTTGCTTATCAATTCCATTTTAACTGAACCCCCTCCCCTCTTATTCAGCTTGCAGTTTATGTAATTGTATGGAAACTAGAAGGAGGAGATTTCTAGAAAGTAGGATCTTTCTGCCCTATCTCCAGCCCAGATTTATATTCCAGATTAATAATTTAAAAGGAGTAACAATTTAAAAGGAGTACCTTCTCCCTGACTCTCCCTGCGTAAAATTGTGAACTGGGCAAAACTTGTCTTAAGAGTCTCAGTTTCTTCTTTTTTTCACTCTCCTTTTCGTGATCAGAGTTCACTGTCAGGAAAAGAGATCATGTAACTCATTCTCCATGACCATTAAATTGCTATGAGTACCTTTACTGTGGAGATGCCTCTGGTACCACAAAAATAATACTGGATTTGAAGTCAAGGAGTGGGATTCGGGCCTGGCTCTCCCACTTCATAAGCTGTACTAGTTTTCTGAAATCAGCCACACTGCACACTTTAGAGCGGACATACAGCTGGTATGCTTCAGCTCAGGTGTTCCAGTTTTTAAAATATTGAAATACCTTCCTAGCTGATGGTACATAGCTGCTGCTCCAAGTTCCTTAGATGCCCTCCCGGAGACCCTTCTTCTCCCCACTTCCCCTGAGTGCAGTAACTAAAGGTTTAAGGCCTGGTTGGGAGCTATGTGAGTCATCCCCACCAAAGTCTTGCCTTTTGGTTTGCCAGAAAACCTGCCTGTGCCCAGCAGAGGACTCCTGCAGGATTAGCCAGCCCATTAGCCTGTCCCTAAAAGAGTAACCATAATAATGGTAAAGGAAAAGAAAAAATATTTTAAGTACCTATTTAAAATCCTTAAGCTGATTGTTCATTTTATTGAATTGTAGCTTCTGATCTAAGCATTGTTCTTGCTGTACAATACAGTTGAAACAAATTCCCCAACCTCTTTTCAAAATTGCTTTCATTGCCCTTCATTTCAAAAATGCAATCCTGGTAATTTCAAAAATTGCCAAACTGAATATATCCTCGATTGGTATGCTCCATAAGATCTTTAATGCTAAGTTTTAACCCCAAGCATTTTGAGTTTCTAAAAATACTGGTTAAAAGGGTGCAACTGAATATAAGTGCTGGTATTTCTACTGCTGTAGAATAAAAAAGCAGTGTTGCCCTCAGCCGACACAAAACTGATAAATTAGTTTCTTTTCCTTTCAAGTAATGCTTGGTAGATGACCAAATTTCCTTCTTATGAAGGACAAAATTATCTCTGATCTGCAGCACATACTCTGTTAAGTACTCTGCACTTAATTTACACGTATGATTTCATTTGCGGAATACAAGTCAAGAACATGTAGTAGAGACCAGTGCTCAAAGTCGGAGACCGGCAGTGAAGATGGGAGCATTTTGTTAACTGTTGTCTTTATCTTTGTTTACATTAAAGCTAGCGGTTATGCTTTTGTGTGATGACACATCCCGAAGGTGAATATTCAAACCGAAGTTTGTTTTCCTCTTCTCAAGAAATGTTATCATGATTATGCCTTACAGAAATTTGCTAAGAGCTGCACATTGTTTGAAAGTGATTTCTTGGGTTTTTGTTTCTCCCGACTTATCTTCCTAGACCGATCCCGTTGAGAACACATATGTACGGAATCCGAACGTCAAGGTTAACATCCAGTCAAGGTCCACATCTCCTTCCACATCTAGTGAAGCTGAGCCAGTTAAGGTGCCTCATTGGAGCAGTCTTGCTTCCCAACTTTTCACTTGTGTCAGGAAAGAGGGAATCGCAAAAACAAGTGAAATCTGACTCTTCTTTTAATCAAATATATTACATAATAAGTCACAATCTATTGGAGATGATTGCATTTGACTGATAATGTAAATACGACTCTAAAACAAAAGTCACAAGTTGCCCCCCACAGATTCAACCTAAAATAGACAGATACTTATTTACTTATAAAGGTAGCCTTTATTTTAAGTAAAGGACTATGTGGAGCAGAGGGCAGGGTTATCTCAATTTTGGAATTGTCAGATATAAACTTGGTAGGCACATGGCAGTGTCAGGTGCCATTCTCGTATTTTAATTCATCCAGTAAATGTAATAAGACCTACACAACTGTTACTTCATAAGTACAGCTTAAAATGAAAATTGCCACTGCTGGCCACTGAATAGTTTATTCTAACTGCTCAGTCCGCAAGAGGCATTCAACTATGTCATGCCTTTTAATAATACAAAAACAGTGTTGTTTTGTACCTCATGTTAAGTCAGTGGTTTCAAACAGCCAGTCAGCCAGTTTTCTCAACAGAGGTCATTTCCTCAACGAGTGAGAAGGATATGTCATGCCTCGGTGAAGCTCTCCTGCCTCGAGATGCAGTTTGGATTCTTCACTCAGCTTGCAGTTCTGACAGAGCCCCTTTGTTTCCCATATTCTCTCTAGAGCTGTGTCTCGTGTTCAAGGGAAGCAGACAGTCTGCTCTGGAAAGCTGTCTGAAGTGAAGTGTGATTTGTAGTTAGATTCTGACTTGATTTTTTACAACCTTGTGACAGACTACCTCAGCCTGGTTAAGTTGATGAGTCTCTGCTTTTTTTTTTTTTAATCATTGTTTCAATATTTCGAGCTTATACATTTTTAATGCTGAAATATCTCAAGCATACAGAGCATAATAAACACACATGTAACCACCATCCACAGATTTAACAGATGTGAACATTTTGCCCTGTCCTTTTCAAATTTGTTTTCAAAGAAAGAATATATTCCAGAGAATTGAAACACCTTTCCCTATACCATTCCCCTCTCTCCTTACTCAGACATATCTAAAGACCCTGAAATTGATGCGCATCCTCTTCCTTCATTTTAAATTTCACTTCATTTGTATCCATAAACAATATATGAGAATGTTTGTTTTATATTTATGTTTTACACAAACATAAAGCTTTATCTTTCTGTAACTTCTTTCATTCAGCATTATGCTTCTGAGCTCGACTCATGCAGATATGCGTCCATTTAGTTGATTCATTATAACTGTTACATAATATTTCATTTTATGAATATACCCCATTTATGCATTCTCCTATTGTTAGATATTTAGGTTGTTTCCGATTTTTCTTATTACGGTCAGTGCTGAAGTGAACATCCTAGTAGCTATCTGCTTTTGCAAATGTGCAGTTTGTTTAGCATATATATACCTGGAAGCTGAATTATTGGGTTGTGTGGTATATGCATTTTCAACTTTAACTAGATTTTGCCAAATTATTTTCTACAGTGGTTGGACAAGTTTTCACTCCCACCAGCAATATGTGAGAGTTCCCCATTTTCCCACATCCTCACCAACCCTTGGTACTGTCAGACATTAACTTTTGCCAATTTGTTGGGTATGGAGTGGCATTTTTGTTTTTAATTTGCGTTTCTCTGATCTCAAGTGTTAATTCAGCATCTTTTTATGTTTATTGACCACTGGTGGTTTGCCTGTTTATGTCTTTTGTCTGTTGTTCTACTGAATTATTTTTCCTATTTTTTGTAAGTGTTCTTTATGTAATCTGGATACTAATCCTTAGCTGGCTATATGCACTGCAGATCTTTTCTTCCAGTCCGTGGCTTATTTTAAAATTTTATTTTGTGTCTTTTTGTCTTGCAACAGTGTTTATTTTAAAGTAGGCTTATATATATCAATCATTTCCTTTATGACATGTTTTTTATGTCTTCCTAAAGCAGTTCTTCCCTATGCAGCATTTAAAATTTTTCTTCCATACTTTTTTCTAAAAGTTTAAAATTTTTTATTTTACCTGTTTAGGACCTTAAACTGAAATTTATTGTTACATATTATGTGAAATGGGGTTCTAAATCTATTTTTCTCATATGAACAGCCAACTCTACTATATTTCCCCCATTGATTTGTAAAACAGTCTCTGCCTTATATATATGGGTCTGTTTGGGGGTTCTTTTTTCTCTTCTGTTGTTCTTTTTGTCTATTCCTGTATCGATATCACATTGTCTTAATTACTATAACCCTAAAATAATTCACCTGGTATAATCAGCTACTCCCACCCACCTTATTCTTTTTCCTTTTCCTTTTGACCCTTTAGTTTTACATATGACTTTTAGAATCAGTTTGTCAGGTTCCGTGTGGAGCCTTTGATTGAAATTGCATTGAATTTTATAGATTTATCTGAGGAGCATTGACATCTTTGTGATTGGGTCTTTCCATCTATGAACAGGGTATACATATTATCATTTAGATATTCTTTTATATCTTTCAGTAAAGTTTTGTTAATTTCTTTATGAATTTACTTCATATTCTTGTTACATTTGTTCCTGGGTACCTTAAAGTTTTTGTTGTTGCAGTGAATGGAATCTTTTCCAAATATATATTCTTATGGTCTTCATAAATTCTGTTGATCTTGTATCCAACACCCTTACTTCACTCTTTTTTTTCTAAACTTCTCTTGGGCTTTCTGTGTAAATTATAATGTCAATTTTGTTTCCTATTGCTTTTTATTAACTTTTATATAGGTTTTCAGTTTTCCTCTCTTTAATCTCTCATGTTTACATTTTTAAACATTAGTTTATAATTGGGTTCAAAACTTTTTCAAGCTATTTAAAGGTAAATTTAAATTAGAACTAAACTCACAAGCAGAAAACTCTGAGAAGCCCAATTCAATTGCATTTTAAGGTTATAGGGCATAGAAAATACTCTGTTTATATAGTAACAAAGGCAAAGAGAGATCATTTATTTTTCTCTTAATATTTTAGACTATTCTATAACTATTCAAAACTAGCTTTTTCATCTTGTTTGCTTGCTTAGCATCCTAAAACGAAGTAATTCTTTGTGCCTTTTTTTTAATACTTTGCTAATCAAGTGATGTCTCTTTTCCAGTAAAATCACTGGTTCCTTTCATTGAAAGAAATATCTTACATTAATGTCTTATAAAGATATGGCTTTTAACTTTTGAATTTGTATGTTAGGTTCTGAATTCCAATAATACTAAATAGTCTAACTCCCTTCTTTGGAAATTGATTTCTGCACAAAATCCCACTAATCAATGTCTCTCTCCCTCTCTTTCTACATACACACACAGACACACACACAAATCCACTGAATTGTGTTCCATATGTGTAACATACATTCTGTGTATAGAAGTTAGGAGTTAAAAGAATCTTCTAAATATTTTTATTTTAAATCCTTTTTAAAAAATCAGATACTTTTAATAATGTGCATTTTCAGATGAAGTTGAAAATTGATATCCTCATTTTTATGTAGGCTGTATGCTGTGACGTTTTTGTTTTCTTCTGTGGATTCTCTTTTCTGAATCATTTCTTTTTAAATTTCCAGACAATTTTTTTTTTTTTTTTGCTAATTGAGCAACTATTTCATTTGTAGACATTGCAGGCTGAAATTTAAATTATCAACACTATGAGAATTTTAGCTTCATTGAGATATTTTTTGCCTTATTGATGTCTTGCTTGGCTTTATTTACTTTGATTTATTTTTAGTGATGTGTGAAATAGATGGAGTGTTTCATGACATTTATTTCCTTTTTTGCTCCTGGATTCAGATTGTAGACAGTACTCCTCCACCAGTTCACACACCAACCTTAAGGAAAAAGGGATGTCCTGGTTCAACTGGCTTTCCAGCTAAGGTACTCAATCTAGATATAAGCATGATGTGTTCTGAAAAAAAATACAAATAAGGATTTCTTCTACTTTTTGTATTTGCTGTGATTTTTGCTATTGGTTTCCTCAAAATTGCAAACATAAAAGCTTGGAAAGAAAATAAATGTTACATGACTGGAAATAACCACCACTAAGAAAGGTAGGAAGAGTGTCGTAAAGTTTGTTTTGTTTTGTTTGTCTTCCTTTTTTCTATTTTTTTAATAATTTCAATCTAAAAAATTATAAAAATTGAAGATGGAACGGCTATATTGAAGTGCATGGTTTGGTTTGGTTGGTTTTATTTATTAGCAGAAAAGCTTGACAAGTTGGAAGTTTCATGCCTCTTCTTTTTTATAATTTCTGGGCTTTTGAAAGATGACTATTTTTAAAGTATATTCTCCTTTTGCTTTATGCTCTTAAGGTTTTTTCAAATCAGTTTTGGGCACTAACAAATTGAAGGAGAAATAAAATCATTAATAAACCAATTTTTTCAAAATTCCAAACAATTTTTCATTATTAATTGTTCCCATTTTTTTTTAAAGATTTTATTTATTTATTTATTTGACAGAGATACAGCAAGAGAGGGAACACAAGCAGGGGGAGTGGGAGAGGGAGAAGCAGGCTTCCTGTGGAGCAAGGAGCCTGATGCGGGGCTCGATCCCAGGACGCTGGGATCATGACCTGAGCCGAAGGCAGCCACTTAACCAACTGAGCCACCCAGGCGCCCCCCCCATTTTAAAATATAAAACATGGAATACATAGTAGTGGAGGAATGTGCAACTTAAATATATGATAAGCACAGCATTAGCGGGCACTCAAATGCATATTTGATTCAGGAGAAAGACTACAGACCTGCAAAGTGCAGAAGAATGCTGGGTTTGTGTTTTGCTGGTTCTTTAGGGTTATACTTTTATTTTTATATCTACAGGAAAATAGCCTTAACATTATTCTAGAAGTACTTACATAAATATTTATGGGATTAAACATTTTAGAAGACCTCTTAAATTATCAATCAAAAAATAATATAAAGAGCAGCTTCGTAATCGTATCTACAATTTCCTGAATAGGACTGTGCCCCAGACAGTATCTATCTACTATATCATTATTTCTGTCACTATTATTCTATCATATGTCTAAAAGTTTCTAATTCAATTCTTACTACAGTGTTTGGAGGTGTCTAATATGTCTCCATAGAGCAGAAAACTAAGGCTTAAAGAAATTAACTTTCCAAATGTCACACAAATAGTAAGCTACAGAGCCAATATTTGCATGTAGATCTGTACATGTCTAAGTATTTTCTTTTAAAAAATATCTATTAATGTTAGATATACAATTAGCAACTAAACACATAATTGCACCATAATTTGAGATGGTTTGGGGTTCTAGAAAACACAGATTGGCATTACTTACTTATCTGGCATAGTTAGTTCATGTAGGTAGTAAAATAAATGGAAATTTCCAATGAATAGAAATTATTGCTTCTATGCTTGCTCTCTTTTTTGTGGTTTCCTTGTTTTCATCTTCCTAAATTCAGTGTTTTGAAGTCTGCTATTGTAAGGAGTAGTGCTTAGAGGATGCATTGTAAAGAAGATATTAAGTTGAGGCCACTCAGAAGAATCTAAGATTGAAGTTGACAAACCACTGAGAAAGAGAAACATTTAGTGAAAAATTCAGGTGAATTACTATTTTTTCATTCTATTCAACATAACTATCACTGAGTATTGATTATGGTAGAACATGAAGATTTAGTTGCTTATATCTCAAGCTCCTACAAAGAAATTCTAAAAATTGGAAAACAAATGATCTCCCTCCCCAGAACAGAAACCTTGGATAAACCACAGAGTGAGAGACAGGTTGATGGATCTAAAAAGCTAATAAAATATACAGAAGTATAACTGGTATAAAAGAAAAACAAGCTGAATAACCTATGCTAGGTATAGCAAAATTCTGAGACCAGAATAGTAATTTAAAATAGGCACAATAAGTATCTGAAAGAGATTTTTTTAAAAAGGAAGTCTGTTGGTAACATGGAGTGGGATAAGGCACCTATGAAGAAAAATAATTTGCAAGTGCTTCATGTGAAAATATAACTGCTGTAATAAAGAACTCAGCAGATGGCTTTTATAGAATGAGCAAACTAGATGTAGGAGAAGAACAAGTTAATGTGGTGGAAGATGACATGGATCATATAAGACATATGACAGAAATAGTTTCAGTATCTCTGTAGTAGGACTTGGAAGGGGAAAGAAGAAAACAGAAGCACTTGAAGAAATAATCACTTAATATTTCCCAGTAATTAAAGATGAAAAACTTCATATTGAAATACATCATTATGTGCTAAAGAGAATAATTTTTAAAAACTTACACTTAGACACATTATAGTAAAATTTAAGGATATCATAGATCAAGAGAAAATCCTAAAAACTTTCAAAGACAGAGTAAATCATCTGTAAAGAAAAATTAAATTGATATCAGACTTCTCAATGGCAACACTAAATGCAAGAAAACAGTTAAGGTAAATGTTCAATATGTTGAAGAAAAAGAACTTTGAACCCTAAAATTTTAACCAAGCCATAGTATCACTTAATTATGAGAGTAAGTTAAAAATATTTTCATGTATACAAGAACTTAGTAAGTTTTATTTAAAAAAAAAAACTTTCTCTGAAAATACTCTTTTATACACTAAGAACATACTATTAGAAAGGGAAATCAAGATAACAATCCCATTTACAGTTGCATTGAAAGGAATAAAATACCTAGGAATAAGTTTAATCAAGGAGGTAGAAGATCTATACACTGAAAACTCTTAAGACACTGATGAAAGAAATTAAGACACAAATAAATGGAAATGTATTATGTGTTCACAGATTAGAAGAATTAATATTGTTAAAATGTCTATACTATATGAAGCAATCTATAGATTCAGTGCAGTCCCTATCAAAATTCCAACAGCATTTTTCACAGAAATAGAAAAAACAATGCTAAAATTTGTATGGAACCATAAAAATCCCCTCAAAGAGCCAAAGCAATCTTGAGAAAGAAAAAGCTGGAGGCATCACACTTCCTAATTTCAAACTGTATTACAAAGCCATAGTAACCAAAATAGTATGGTATTGGCATAAAAACAGACACTTAGATCAATGGAACAGAATAGAGATCCCAAAAATAAATATGCATATATCTGTTTATTGAACACATATATGATCACTTAATTTATGACAAAGGCATCAAAAATATACTATGGGGAAAGGACAGTCTCTTCAATAATTGGCGCTGGGAAAACTGGATATCCACATGCAAAACAATGAAACTGGACCACTATCTCACACCATACACAAAAATCAACTCAAACAGATTGAAGACTTGAACATAAGACCTGAAACCATAAAACTCCTAGAAGAAAACAGTGGGTAATCTCCTTGACATTGGTCTTAGGAATGATTTTTTTGGATTTGATATCAAAACAAAGACAATGAAACAAAAGCAAAAATGAATAAGTGGAATTACATCAAAGTAAAAAATTTCTGCACAGCAAAGAAAACCATTAACAAAATGAAAGGGCAACCCATGGAATGAGAGAAAATATTTGTAAGTCATATATCTGGTAAGGGGTTAATATCCAAAATATAAAAGAACTCCTAGAACTCAATAGCCAAAATAAAACAAAAAACCCAAACAAAACAAAAAACAACCACATAATCCAATTAAAAGATGGGCAGAGGACCAGAGTAGACATTTTTCCAAAGAAGACGTCCAAAAAAATTGCCAAAGATACATAAAATGGTGCTCGACATCACTAATCATCAGGGAAATGCAAATCAAAACCACAGTGAGATAATCGCCTTGTACCCATTAGAATGGCTGCCATCCAAAAGACAAAGAGATACCAAGTGTTAGGATGTGGAGAAAAGGGTTGTGCACTGTGGGTGGGAGTGTAAATTGGTGAAGCCACTGTGGAAAATAGTATGGAGGTTCCTCACACAATTAAAAATAGAACTACCATATGGTCCAACAATTCCACTTCTGGGTATATATCTGAAGGAAACAAAATCACTATCTCAAAGAGATATATGTACCCCCACGTTCAGTGCAGCATTATTTACAGTAGTCAAGACGTGGAAATAACCTAAGTGTCCATTGACAGATGAATGGATAAAGAAAATGTGGTGCGCGCGCGCGCACACACACACACACACACACACACACACACACTGGAATATTATATGACCATAAGAAAGAGGAAAATCTTGTAATTTGTGATAACATGGATGGACTTTGAGGGCATTATGTTAAATGAAATAAGAGAAAGACAAATACTGTATGATCTCACTTATATGTAGAATTTTAAAAATTTGAACTCATAGAAATGGAGAACATATTGGTTATCAGAGGTGGGGTTGGGAGATGAGGGAAAAGGTACAGACTTCCAGTTACAAGATAAGTAAGTTCTGCAGACGAATGGAATACATGGTGACTATAGTTAACAACACTGTATTGTATATTTGAAACTTGCTTAGAGAGTAGATCTTAAACATTCTCCCCTCAAGAAAAAAATTACAACTATAAGAGGTGATGGATGTTAACTTATTTGGTAATCATTTTGCATTATATACATGTATCAAGCCATGATGGTGTATATTTTAAACTAATACATTATATGTCAGTTATATCTCAATAAAACTGGAAGAAAATAATATTCTCGGAGGAAATTCTCCATCAAAAAGAGATATAAAGCCACAAGGCCACTGTGAGAGATTTGGGAAATAGGGTGACTAGGTATCTCAGAGGACTTTACTATAGTCTGTAAAAGCAAGCACCCTCACTCTACAAAAATCAAAGAGAAAGGAAATACATATTTAAAGCAGATCAGAATTAATCTAAATACAAACACAGTGGAGGTAAGTAAGAATCGGGTGAGGTGAGCATGCTTAGGCATTTGTCTCATCTGGGGATAAGCTGCAGAGACAGCAAAGCATGGTAGTTACAT